AAGAAATCCGGGTCTCATAGCACAGCCTTTATTCAAAACTTGTTTGTGTGATTGTGCATGTGTGTGAGGAGGAAGTGGGGGGAGAGGTTATTTGTGATACTAAGCTACATTTCTCTGAATTTTTCACATATAAAGGAAGGAAAAATTATATAATAAAAAGCACATGCTCAAGAAATCCGGGTCTCATAGCACAGCCTTTATTCAAAACTTGTTTGTGTGATTGTGCGATTGTGCATGTGTGTGAGGAGGAAGTGGGGGGAGAGGTTATTTGTGATACTAAGCTACATTTCTCTGAATTTTTCACATATAAAGGAAGGAAAAATTATTTACTAAAAAGCAGAGAGATGAGCTGCTGATCATTAGGGTATATCAGAGGTGTCAGTTTCTGCAGCAGTGATCTGTTTATGTGGCTGGAACTATGCCTTTTACCAGAACCCATTCTATGATGTATGTTACTGAATTTCTCTTAAAATATAGCAGCAGTCCACCTGAAGCCTCCATACATACATCAGATGTCTGTCTTGGCATGCTAACAAAACTCCATAATCCTATAGGATATTACAAATCAATAATAATCCCTTCCTACCCTGTGGTAGCGAAGTCATAGTGTTTTGCTACACTGGACAATAAATCTACTTATGGCTGGATGTTCATTCTTGTATAAGAGGCCAGACCGGACAATAGCTGTCATTTCTGGAGAACAATGGAGAACAACACCACAAAGGATCTGCTGTGTCTCCTCTAATCGTAAATCCTCCTTGAGCTGCAAAGCCACAGTCTTTTATTATTTTTTTAATTTAATTCTGGTAACCTTCAAAATCAATTTTGCCTGAAAATACCTTTCACGGATACATCAAAACGAAGAGTGTGTGGCTTTGTTTGTTCAGTTTCTACGCTCTTGGAATTAAGTTTTGAAGAAAATAAATGATACTTTATTATGTCTGAAACACAAGCCCTGATTCTTATTTATATTAGGCTTTGGTGTAAAGCACATTTATATTGTTTTAACTCTGATGTAAATGAAGCTCATCCCCACAGTGTGGGGATGTTACAGCTCCTTGAGGTTGAATAGAACAGAAGTCACTGGAGAACACAAAGACTGCAACTCATGATGTTTTTTTCCTGAATTGCTGGCATGTAGGATTTCATATAATTAATTAACTCCTATGGTATAAGAAGATAGTGGAGCTGCATGGGGAAGTTTTCTGGGTCAGTGATAAACAATAGTAATACTAAGGTCACTTGCCTTTCCTTCTGTGAGGAGTAACACACTTCAGGGACATACCTTCACCTTTTGAATTTTTCAGTATGAAAATGAAAGACTGGTTTGGGTTATTTTGTTTCCCAGTTACAAAATTAATCAGTTGTAGGAAAAAAATGCTGTAAATACTCTGCGGCGTGACACTAAAAATCTGTTCGGTCAGTTTCAAAACAGACCACAGACAGCAGTCGAAGAACTATTGTTGGGTGTGATTTCCTAATGCTGGTTTTCCAGAATCAAAACAGCGTACAAAAATAAATTGCACATGCTCCTATTTTTCTGGTTTCAGCACTTAATATGCTTCAGTCTGTAGACAAAGCAGTATAGGTACCTAACCAGCTTGCCACACGGAGTCATTGTATCTAGATAACAGCTTTTCAGGAATGCAGCTGGGGCAGCACAGGAATCTGCTTAAGAACGTTGTTACAAGCTGTGATTTGACTTCAGTACCTCTTAGGTATGTCTTAGATTAAATCCGGTTAGTGACTTTTTAAGAATGACTGAAATTAGTAATACAGATTACTATGTAAGATTATATTTACAACGTGTGAGGATACGTTTACTGACAACTTTGGCATCTTTGGCAATTGAATATAAACTTGGCTGCTTTTGGCATGTAAGTTAACAGCTTTAGTTATTCGCACATTGATTAATAGAACCGGGACCTTAGAGTTTATCCTCTACTACTATGGTATGTAAAGCACACAACACGGCTTTTGAACATTGTAATTGTGCTTCAACGACATATTTTAGTCCTCTTAATGTACAAACTGAAACAGGTTATCTTTATGCTCTGGACACAGACATAAAATAAGTAGTGATGCACCCTGGATTTTGTAAAATGTAGCCCACCTAATTTGTAAAAGATGAATCAGTCTTTGGGACCGCCTTGGCACTGCAGAGAACCTGGGAACGTGATCTGAGGAGCACCCAAATGAATGCATGGGGACCCATATGATGTGTTTTCCAACTCGTAAATTAATGTTATTATAACATATGTAAAACTCACATTCAAATTGAAATTCCTGCAAAATATGAACCTGTGAAAGTATTTGGAAAGGTTACTCTTAGATTCTCCGAGCACAAGTTTATTCATCTGTCCTGGACATGATGAAGTCAAACACTATGAGCAAAAAAGAGGCATACATATTATTAGCACATGAGCAGCAGTTTATATTAAATCCCTCACAAATATAAAAATAATTCAGCAAAGCTGGCATTAATGATGCCTAGTGCTGCCACTTAGTGGAGCTGTGCTTTCCTTCCTTAAATTAGAAAAGTGAAGGGTTTTTTTGTTGTAGCTAGTAAGAAACCTTAGTTTCTACAAAAGTGTAGCATGGGACTGTTTTTCAGTGGTGCTGGGTACTTGGAGCTCTTGTGTAAGTGCCTTTACGTGATGACAAGAAGCATTTGAGGAATCCAGGAGTGAAGCACCTCAGGTAAGGAATGTGTACTCTTCTTTTCCTGCTGCCTCATATATAAAACAATCACATCAAGAAATGAGTAGCTCATCAATGCAAAAAAGATAGCTTCATATGGAACTTAAGCAGCCTGCAGAAATTCCAGCCACAGAAGATCATGTTTTTCTGTCATTATGGAAGTTGAAAGGATGAATTTAGCACCTGAAAAACAACCTTAAGTTATGTGTGCTGAGCTACGGATGGTTAGATTTCATATTTCTGTTATAAATGGACCATGATGATGATGATTATTTAGGGTAACTCTTCCATCATGTACAAGTTGCCTGAATACTTTCGTATTGGGAAGAGGAATGTCTTGTGAAGACCAAGCTAGAGTCAGACTGATAAAACGGAGCAAAGCTTATGTCCCTACGCAACAAGTTTGATCCACCTCTTCAGGGAAGAATGGAAATCACTCTTTCACTCCAGTGCATGCAGACATAAATTGAAAAGGACTTTCTTTTAAACAAGAGTACCTGTGGTAGTGTCTTCCACCTCACCTCCTGCTCCTTAGCTTGCAGGCCAAACACAGCTCACGAGAATGAATTCCTCGGATGCTACTGGCAGAAGAGAAAAAAAATGTATTTAAGTGTAAAACAGTTAATGTTATCTGTCCCAGCAGAAATCAATGTTATGCCATCTGAGTGCAACTGAGCATACCACAGCTAATATTTCAGTGATTGAGGCCAAATAACCAAACAACAGAAAAAAGCATATATATTTTTTCAGTACATAATGTATGAGAGCAGCCAGCCTAGATATGCCTGTTAGCTTATCTCTAAATCAATCAAGCATTGTTCATATCTGCATATGTTTCTCCCTGTGTGGATAGCACATACAAGCTTACGCTGCAGTATTTAAGACTAAGATCAGTGCTGGTTTAATACACGGGGGAGTCATAAAACTTTTTGTTTATTCTTTCTACAGGGAAAATTTAAATTAACACAGCATATATCAGCTCCATAATAGTCTGGTACAACAGAGCAAATCATAGTCTGTGCTATGGCTAGTGCATAGTAAAGTGGGAAAAGATTTTATTTTGGTCAGGTTTCAAGACAGTAATGCACAATTTTAATCATTGTCTTCCTATCCTGTGAATAATTCTTTTTAAGAATGCAACAAATCCATCTTCCTGTTATATTAAGATACTGAACTTCTGATGTCTTTGGTGGTATTTTCTACCCTATAGAAGAAAAACAGATAAACTTACATACTACATGGAGTAAAAGTCCTTCCGGATAGTAAGAAGCGATATACTCAAAAGTATCCATAAGTTAGATAAAAATATATCTTAAATGTATCCGAATAAAATAACCATATGTGGAAAAAATGTAAGCCCATTTGTTTTGTTTTATACAGAACCAACTGCTAGGTTTTTAAAGGCATTTAAGAATCTAAAACTTATACTTTAAAATATGGCCAGAGAACCTTAAATATCCCAAAGTATTTTGAGGAAGGTCTGTTCATATTCCAGAATCAGTAATTGCACTCCTTTCCATAAATTTTTTGCCAGTTCTCCCTCCTCCCCCCAGGAAAATGTGATTGTGAAAGTAAGTAAAGTAGTAGAACATATCACAAGAAGTAAGTATCTGAAACCTTCATTTAGGATTAACATACTTTTAAGATACGATCTATTTTTCAGGCAACAACCTTTTCTCTGTAGTAAATGCCTCTGATATGTACTTTCAGACGTAACAATTTCTTAACCCTTGTTTAATCCATATTTCATTGTTCAGCAGTAACAGCCTGGCCCTGCTACAGCATAAAAACGCTCTGAGTGGAAAGCACGTTGATACTGTAAGTCTTGAACTCTCCATTACTCTATATACTGGTTCTGGAATTTATTCCTAAACTATTCATTTCCACAAATTGGATTTGGTGTTGAGTGAATGAGGGAATTTCAGAAAAATCCCTTGTCAGCAATGGTACTCCCATCCTTGATCAATGACCAGGGTTTGGGCTGAATCCTTTCCTGTATGCTGGCCTGTTTCCTCATTAGCCTCTTCTCCCTCGTGCTCTGGATATTGGCAGGCAATGGCAGAGAGATTCTGTGCCCTTAATGGAGACGAATGCCGCAGCACCGCCTCGATAAATGACTGCCACGCAGAACAGGTCCCTTAAACATGTACATTAAGTAAGCCGGACGGTGAAGAGCTTGTGAAGTGAGAGGATCACAGCCATTTCTCAATCCATGAGACAATTTCCACCGGCCGGGACAAACGGATGTCTGGGAGGCAGTTCCTACACACCTCATAAAAGCATTTGGAGCTCAGGCATGCATGGCGGAGAGGAGCCAAGTCCACCCCAGCTGTGGGAAAGGCTTAATTGGAGCTTGTGCCTTCGGCACCATGGAGGCCGAGGTCTCATTAGGTGGGCTCAGGTGTGCTTGTCCCCTTCAGGGCTGCCGCTGCCCGCTTTGTCCTTGCCTTCCTTCAGCGCCCCAGCCTCCCCACTACGGGCCTGAGCCCACAAGGGCATGCCCTTCAGCAACAGCTCCTGCCGCTTCACCTCAGGCTTCGCCCTTCCGCCCTATCGCTCCCGCGGGGCACAAAGAGAGCGCCCGGGCCGGCAAATACGAAGACAAGTCCGAACGGCGGTGCCTCGCCAGCCAACAGCCCGTCGCTCAGGTACTCAGCTTCATCGGTATTTAAACCCCGTCACTTCGCGGGAGGCTGCGCCCGCCACCCGCCTTC